CACACACACACACACACACACACACACACACACACACACACACACACACGCACGCACGCACGCACGCACGCACAAATGCACTTGCGAGTAATAGATAAACAACGCTAAGTACACAGAACACGACAGATAAAAAAATTAGTAAAACGAGTACTAACGAATAGTAATATATGTACAATGCACAGTTAGCATAAATGCCAAAATGAAATACATTAATTAAAAATATATATTTTACCGGCCAATTACATTTACAATTACTAAAGTATATTTACGTTACCACTTGCTGGTAAGAAGCCAATATGAATAATTATTTAATCGTGATATCGCAATTATTTCATCACTGCTATCATCAACATTTGAATAAAATGGTATATTTTTGTTTATACCCAGGAGCGTATTTACATGTTTTCTATGTGCAGACCTATGAGAAATTGCTGCTTTAAATACCTAAAATAATATATTGCATTAACTGAATTATCATTTAATTACCTACTATAATATATATTAATTAGGTATGTTTATAAAACAAATTTTATTTAGATACTTAAATACAATTTTTTTAAATCTAAACACTTTTTATTAATATATTTTGTTATTAACTAACATTTTTTATTAATAGTTAATAACAAAAAACATTATTCAAATTTTCCGCTGTAAACACGTGCCAACATATAAATACGCCATTGTTTAAACCATTAATAAATAAAAATAAATGGCTATTTATTAATTTTCACAAATGTCGGGACTTTATCAGTACATTCAAAATATAAGTATATTCAATTTATAAAGTTTTTTATTTTTATATGTATTTTATTATCAGATTTAGTTATTTATTTTAATTTATATTGATTTTAAAATATTTAACATATAACTTTACATAAATTATAATATATTTTATATAATTTATTTCATTCTTTTAACAAAACTAAAATTTAATTCATTTTTTATTCCATACTCTTTAAGATGTTTTGTCCTATGCTATTAATTTAAGTATTTACTCGTATAATAGGCTTTTATTCATAGATATTAGTATATTTTTATATGGGAGTAATCGGATAATTAAGGTATTTTAATTTCCGTTTAAATATTATCAACCAAAAGCATAGGATATTTTTGGGAAGATTAAAGTGGAAGAATGAAGACATTTGAAATAACTATTACACCTTTAGGTTAGGTCATTTTTTTAAAACATTTTTTTTTCTGATATTTTGGGAGGAAGGGGAGTTGAACCCTAAAATACCTCCTTACATTTGCTCGTGAATTAATTATAATCCATTTCTTTAAATTACATATGTACGAATTCTATAACATATTATTCTGAAAAAATGTACTGTCCCATTTATTTATCTAAGTATGCTCTAATTCTTTTTTCAGTATAGTCACACAAATATGAAACATACATACGTATCAGCTAAATTCTATATATATATATATATTTTTGTAACTTTTCATTTAAAAGTTTCACTTATCTCTAGTTATTAAAATAATTAACATTTTAAGACATAAAAATATATTTGTCGTTGTATAAATGAAAATATATTAACTATAATTAGTTTATCGCAGTGATTAAAAACTCAATGAGGACGGTAGAGTGATTGTAAGTTTCACAGTAGGACAACTTTATATATTAACACTGAAAAGCAAAAACTAACGACGAAATAATTTCAATAAATATGATCGGGTGAATTGATATACTCTGTCTTAAGCTCGTCGTAATAGTCATATTTTAATCATTCATGCACATGGGTTCATCACGTTCACTAATTTTAGACACTAAACTTCGGACCACATGACCAGACAATTATGTGAAAAAATAAATAAACTGGAGTTCAATTTGAAAGACGAGAAAAATGTGTGCGAGGAAAATGCGTATAATACACACACAAACAAATTATAAATAAACCTTGGATTGTAAACAAAAATAAATTCACTTTGATTTGCTTCTATTCCTAAGATAATCTTTTTTCTTTTACGCAACAATTTTCTAATTGAATACACATGAGACACTCTTTTTTGAAAATCAAATTCAACGAAGACATTAACTTTTATTTGTCGCGAATTATTTCTAAATAATAATCAACATATGATTAAGGGTTAAATTCGACGTCGTTTTCACGTTTCATTAAATAGTTTGAAAAAAAACTTAATTGCTTGTATAATTTATTTTATCAATCTGAAAGACCGATTTAAAATTATTTTATTTTTATTTTAAGCAAGTTAAAAGATATTTTGAAAACTTTTACGTTCGATTTAAATGTTTAAAATACATTTGAATTGTACCTATAATTCGTTGTTTTACAGATCATAATAATTTCGAAAATAAATAATATTATATTGGACTTATGTGTGTGAACAAAAATAATTTTATCATGGATCCTCAATAATTGAATAAAAAATATGTTCATATTATTGATTACACTTTATTAAATTAATATTTTTAAAACCGTTACGATACAACTTATATTAACTATTGAAAAGAACTTATATCATTCAATTAACAATTTACTATGTTCACAAATTGTATGTCTAATGTCTTTCTCCATAATTTTAATTTGAATAACAACCATCTAATACTTATGATCAACATTTTTATTTCTTCGTAATTATTTAAAAATATCGATTTGTAGTACAATATTTTATCAGATGATACATATATTTCAAGAATACAATATGTCAAAAACAAATACTTTAATTTGTTTTTAGTAAAAAATAAAAAAAATAAGATGTTTACATGTGTAGTATCATAGTATGTGCATGTACGTTCTGTGCTATCAATATGTATATTTATAAAAGTAGATACATTTCAATTTGTATACGTATGGTGTGAAATAAATATCGACTATATTTATTCTAAAGTTAAACAAAAATAATTATACTGATCGATTGAAGTTGTTAAATAAAAACAAAACCTAGTGTGAAATTGATATTATTATTATTATTATTATTTCATATAACACCAGATGCACTTCAAATTATAAAATGTATGTACAAATAATGTTAGTTGACTTTACGTATGTATACGATTTAATTTTTTTCTCGTCTCGGTTCCTTAATTTATTCGTCTGGACCATTATCTTTTTATTTATTTTGAACCGAAATTTAGGGGGAAATGCACTTGACAACTGCATTTCCAGACAGATTTTAATGCGTCTGCTGGGGAGTTTTTTAAACGATTACTGGTTTTGTCGGTTTCGGATTTTATTTTTCGTTTTCGATTTCGTTTGCGACTCGGTTAATAAATCGAGACGGGAAAAAAAACGAAAAACCCAAAGTACACGCAAGTAAAGAGGTGTATTTACAATAAATCTGAGTTGTTCTCTTAGCTGGTAATTGCGACGATCTCGTTTAATGGGATCCGTCTACACGTCTTCGGCCTTGGTTTTTCAGACAGAGCTTAACGGTTGACCATTCATATTTCAATGCATCCGATTTTTATTTGCTCGTGTTTTAAAAATGTTTCGCTAGGACGCAATCAAAACTTTTATTAGGTAGATACATTTTTCATAATATGAAGTTCATTTTGCAACTCCTTACACATAACCATAATTTTAATCATTCATACTTCAATAAAATTTATTTATTCACAGCCCCGATTGTTCAGAGGACCGGTATGTAAATTCGTCGACACCGTAAGTGAATACGAATATTTATGTGTGTTTTTGTGTTGACCATTATCAATTAATATCAACCATAGAGTACTGTTTTTAACGTTTTTATCATCATTATTGACATGCTTAGTGTATTAGTACGCTGTTCGTTTAGTATTGTTTATGTTGTTGTTGTTTGTGCTTTTCAATATTATTTGCTGGTCTTGTCACAAAACTTAATATAAAAATGTTTTTTTTCTTTAGTTCTAAGAAACGCAGGATTCAATCGATTCAAAATCAGATTATGCAGTATATGGGTAGATCTTCTCCGAGCCAAATCTCACCGATACCAACCAACTCTAATCAACCTACAGCTGTGAAAAAAATAATGGATACGGTAACGAACTTGATGTCCTATCCCAGTGATGTGATGCATACCGAAAGCGCGGTTGAAAAAGTTCAAAGTTTTTTTCCTATTTGTAAGTTAATACATATTTACCCGATGAATTGGATTTTTACGATCGCGAGTTTTATCCAATATTAAATGTTCACCACAGGTTACGTGCCAAAGAATACAAACGATGACGATAATTGGAATTCCAAGAAAGCTATGAACTTAATGTTTAGTATAAGTTTACCCAAAGCACCTGGCGGTGTTTCGGTTAACATAAACATGACTAAACTCAGGCTATTCAAACATTTCATAACGTGCACTTCGCAAACGAGTGTTGAGGTGCGTAGTTAATAACTTTATTCCTCGTTCTGACGTGTATGTATTACGTTACCAATTGATTTTATCGATTTCTCTCCAGACCGATGACTCTCAAATCTGTCAACCGATTTCATCGAAAAAAAACGCTAAACTAGCTAATTCTTCTTCTGCCGAAGCTATGTCAACGACAGAAGATAAGCAGATTCGGGTATCTGTATACATAAGATTAATGAAAAAGAAGGTTACAGGTAAACGACAATTTGATTACTTTTTTTTTTCAAATTAAATTAACTCAAAAAATATATATTACCCACCAATAGTTAAAAGGAAGCTGTTGGACAGCCGTATGTTACCGTATTACGGTGAAAAGTGGACAGAATGGAACATTCATAAAGCATTCAAGACCTGGCGCAATCAAACACACAACTTTACGATCACCGTCGAAGTTGAAGATGAAGACGGCAATTTCCTTCCAGTAACAAGGTTTTTCAAACCGATGAACTGCACCGAGCCCGAGCAAACGAGTAATACATTTTTCTGCACTTTTTTTTCATTACGATAATGTTAAAACACGTGAACCCTATACGGGGTTAGTATTATTGAAAAAAGCTTTGAGTCAAATGGACAACAAAATAATAAGACAGATAAGAAGAGAGAATGAGGGACAGGGGTAGGATACGAAAAAAGTGAATTCAAAGTTCTAAAGGGAAACAGTTTTTTGTTCGAGGCACGCTAGTAATATAATGCGTAACTGTTGACTAGACGTATGCTTCGGTTGCGTGTCTTTCGAATTCTAGCGATAGAAAATCATTCAGTCTAACACTTGGGAGTGATATTAAAGTTATTTACAGCGAGGTAATTGATGAAGCACTCTCATAACTTCATCTAACTAACAACAATTATTTTAATTTTAAAACAATATTATAAATCACAACATCAAAGAAAATCGATGTAATATTATTATACAGATAACACATTCTATCTACAGTGTTGGCGGCGTGAATTTTCTTCGAAATCATTATTATTATTGTGTATTATTTTAACATAATTATTAACGTACAAGGCACAGTGGGATGAAATAAATTCTAGTTTACCGAAATTCAGAAATGAAGGTTGTAAATAACACGAGATATAACATTAATTTTATATTTTTTACGCATTATAGATAGTGAATACACATTATTATGTTCCTGAAATGTTTATCTTATCATACTAATAAAATTTTAATTGGCATATGACGCGCAACCAATGTCAAATAGTATTAAGAATTGTAAGGTACGCTCAGTTATCTTTTTGATACGATTTTGTTGTAAACACGATGTATTTGAAATTTTAAGAAAAAAAATATTCCTATAGATAAAGGTAGTTTATTAAAAAGTATAGAATATGTCTTCGATATTTTAAAAGCAGCAAATAGAGGACATACATGGTCAGATACTTACATGGAGTTGATTACTTGAATTCCGAACACCGATGCAGTGGCGACACATGAAGAATTGGTAGCGCCCCTGGCAAATTTAGAAAAACATACCTTTCTAATTTGATGTCATGATATTTTTTTAACCTTTAATTTTACTAATATTTTTAAGTATACAATTTGTACTTATAAGTTATTATTATAGTGTTAATTTTAAATTTTGAAAATTCTCGCTTTATGACTGGCAAATTCATCGATAATTTCTTCATATGACATTTTTTATTTAAATACCCTATTTTCATAATTTTATCATTAAATTCACAATTAGTATGTACAAATAGACATCATCTACGTATTTCAAAAAGTATAATGGAAAAATGTCGATTTAATTGTCGGACAAAAATACGACTTTTGCACAATTTTATGCCGCTTTGCAATTCGCGCCCGCGGCGTAGGCACGGTTCGTCCCATACCCTTGCTACACCACTAGCGGTGTGATCGCGGTTCGTTTTAACTCAACGTGCGGTTTCAGTTGCAGCGATCTCGAAACCGATCCCCGGGCTGGTGATGGAGTCCGTGCACAAAGGGCTGCAGAACGACGGCGACGAGACGATGACGATGAGCCCGCAAATGGCGCTCAGCCTGAATCTGCCGCGGTATCCGATCGTGGACGTGACCACGGTCGAGGTGCCGGCGGTGGCCGAACAGGGCCGGGGCGTGGCGCAGCTTTTCAACCGTCACGCGGTGGTCGCGGTGAGGACGACGTCGTGGCGGCCGGACAGATCCAACGAGCACGGCGCGTATCCCAGGATCCGGCACGGCAACGGGTCGCACAACAAGGCGGCCGCCGAACCGACGGACCCGGACACGTTGCCGCCGCCGGCCATGGACTTCTCCAGGATGGGCGAGGACCTCCGCGACAGGGTGGTGAACAAGATCGTGCTAGTCAAAGTCAAGGCCACGACCACCACCGAGACGCCGACGGGCTCGACCGCGTCGCCTGGTGCCGCCGCGACGTGAGCCCGCGTAGCCTCCGTCGGTTACCGGTAACCGTCACGAGATCCTGAGCGCGCGCCCAACGTTGTAAGCGCACGACTCATCCGTTTCATTCGATATGTTTCGATATTAATCGTTAGGACGGTAACTGCGTGTGCGCCCGTTTACCGCTGTATTGCTCGTACGTTATGTACTCGCTTATATTTCGAATCCTCGTATCTGGGCACACGTCCACGTATTTATATATGCATATATTTATTTATTATTATAATTACTATTATTATAATTATTTTCTTTAACTTTATATGATTATATTCACGTTATCACAGTTGTATTACGGTGGAGGGAGAAAACTACAATAAGTTTATAAACGGAATAACTTTATTTATTACCATTAATATTATCGTATTCGATTAACATTAGATGAATCCAAGGCTGGAAATTAACGAGTGAAAAATTTAAATTTACTTTTAACCGTGTTACTTAACGAGTTATTCATCATTTTTTTTTTTTTTTAATTAATTTCTTATTTAATGAGTTAAATAATTTCTCATTGTAGCTACTATTTTATATTTGGATTAATTTATTTCCTAATTTTAATTCCAGATTTGAAAAACACGAAAATACTCCTTTTTTTATATATAAATTAATTGTTTCTAGCAAAAAATAATTTGCATTTTAATCGTAAAGTATTGATTGCACTTTTACTCTTGAATCGCAATAGGAATCTAAATAACGTACATAAACATAACATTATAAACATTTCATATTATGCAGTTAAAAAAAAAAATTGATTTTACTTTTTTTCTGTTTAATTTATAACTTTTGCACGTTATTACACATTTATAGACAAAAAAATAGTGACTTTCAACCAAAGATGGGCAAGTTAATGAAAATAATTAACTTGATTTAACTTAACTCAGTTTAATAAAAGTTAATCTACTTTTTTTTAATTAGTATGTAAATCACATAAAAAGTGACTGCGTTCTTTAGAAATATCTAATTTCTTAAATTATAATAAACAATTTTATTTTTTATCATAATATACAGTAGTTGTACATCAATGGGCCACTCACTACCGTATTTATTTATCTTTATAGTTAATTTTTTTTATACATAAATGTTATGTATTCACGGCCAGAACCCAATACCCAAAGGTGGGCCCCCCAACCTACAAAATCTAATATGACATTTGATGTACAGTGTATGCGACCATTTTACTTTATATGATTATTTAATTTTTATATTAATATTTACCAATTAAACGAATATTTTTTTTAACTTGATAGATCATTTTTAAATCAACTGTGAAAAGCTCTTTAACTTAACATTAATTTTTTAAACAGTTAATGCCCACCTTTGCTTTTAACTCAACTTAAATTTCGCTTAAATAACTTAACAAGTTAATAAAATATGTTAACTTTTCCGGCCTTGTTTATATCACAATATAATTCGCATATATATTAAGTAATAATGTATAAAGTAATATGTTCCTATAGTTTTTATCATTATAGTGACTGAACTAAAATCAAATATATCTTGCAATCTGTTTTAATTTTTCTACACGAGAGCCACATCAAATCTGTTGTTTTGTGCATCACACGACTGCAATACATACATATATATATATAGGGTGTCTCACAAGAATTTACTGTTGTAAAGTAGCAGGAGTGCATTTTTTTTGAGGTCTAATGCAAACACTTTTTATATTTTTATAATGAAACTTATATAAATTAGAGTAATAATACTCTATACCTTAATAGATATATTTGGATTTTAGTTTTAACTTTTTTGACTTAAGATATATATATATATATATATATATATATATATATATACATGTAAATGAATAAGGTATTTGTAACATTTACTATAATGAGTACCATATCATATCAATTTTTTGCAAACATTAAATATTTTTTTGTTATGCAGAATTATTATTAATTATTATATTTCAAGTAAATACAAAGTTATCAACCTATTTACAATAGGCGATTGACATATTATATCTGCAGATACCATGTAATAATATTTTATCAATAAAATTTAATTTTACTACTTATATATTTCATATTATTATACATATACCTAATAATCGTTGTATTTATTTATTTGATGGTTATTCGATAATTCTAGTTTGTAATGATTATATCCATAGCGATGCATTCTAATTGCGTCAGGAAATTAAATTTTGTCCTAGTTGAGTATTACTCGAATCTCAGATTTATTCTATAAAATTACATATTTTTCACTTTTACAGATTGATGATTGGAATTTATAAAATAAAAATAAATAATTTATATAATATAAATAAGTTATACTTTTTGGCGTGGTAAAATATATGTAAATCACATTAAATTATTTATAAAATGAATAAATAATTTATGTATTATTTGAATACATATGATATTAATATGTCATATAAAGCTATTTTATTGGGTGAATGTAAGTTCCCACACGAGATTAGCAGGTAAAAATCACCATTGGGTTTGTCTACGTAAGTTCCAACACGAAAAAATATATATTGTTACGTAAGTTCCTACACAAATAATAATTTATAACAAATACAAATTTCCTTCCCACTTTATTCAGATTGATGACCGATAACGTAAATTGATGTGGTTAGCCACTTTCCTGGGTTATCATTTGCGTAATTAAATCATTGTGCTAAACCTAAGATATACATTTTACAGTATCAAGTTTGGCCTAGATGCAAACGGCATCCCCAATTACATATTTTATATTGCTATACTTTTGTTCATGTAGGTATTTACGAGTACATATTATGTAAACGTTTACCTGCTATACTTCGTGTGGGAACTTATCTCCCATTTTATTAAACCAGATGTGTATCATGTCAACGATTTTTTAATTTTTATTTTAAACAAACCCATCTCTGCAACCGTTGGAAGAAATGGGCGCCATAATCCTAGGTACCTGTACGGCAAAATAAGTGGAAAAGTTGAATAAAAATTATATTTATTTTTATACATATATGTTATATTTTATTGGTTATTGATAATTTTCTATATTTTTAAATACTCATATAAGATGTTTAAAATATTATATGTTCTTTAATTCACTTTCGTGGCTCATGTCATATAACCAAAACAGATATAAATTAATGGATAATTGGTGCTCATGTTCTACAAATTTTAGTGTAAATGATATGTCATTTTTGCACCTTTGACACTTATGTCGTATAGCCCTCTGTAACCATTTAATAATGTTTGGATAGAAATTATACACCCATTTGTAATTGTTTATTTTTTTCAGTAAACGTATTAATGATTTAAAAATTATTAATTACCGAAATATCGTTGTCGCAGTAACGATGCAAGTATAACTGATGATATACTTACAAATTAGGTATCGATAAACGATGATACTGGACTAAGACTCAACTGCCTGTTTTTACGCGTATAAGTATGCCTAAACAAATAATTTAAACAGAAAAACGATATTATTACAACGGACGCAATTCGAAACCGTCGCCGAAATACCTGGGACGCAATACGATTGTCGTGTCGTGTTTTTGTTCCGAATGGACGTAATTCGTATACATCAGTAAACGGTTGTTGTCCATTTTTAATCATCGCTGCAATGCAATCTACACCGACATCACCCTCATTTAAATATTGGTTTTCTAATTCGTTCAATAATAATTACGGGTACATGTGTGCGCGCGCGCGCGCGCGTGTGTGTGTGTTTAATTATTTTTTTTAAAGACATGTAACAATTACCGCAAACGTAACCCGATTTCATTGGTTATGTTATTGACTTATTACCGTGCATGTATTTTGGTGTACAATTAACAAAATGTATAGATATTTAGATATATATTATTTAGTCCTTGAGTACGACGTTCAAGTAACGCACAATGTACTCACTTAAGCACTGATCGCGTAACGCTGTGCACGTGTCGACAGATACATCGTAATTCAGTGTGTACCGACGACCTGTTAAGACGACGGAAATTATTGTTGTTTGAAAACGGAAAACAACCCTCTCGTGCGCTTGAAGTGTTCGTCAGTCGACGCAGTGCCGAATGTTCACGTTCAAAGGTAATATTTCGATGCACTACTAATATTATAATGTACTTTTACAATTAATATTTCATACGCCTAAACGGCGCGTGAACTGTTGCGCGACAAAATAGACATTTTTTAATAGGTTCGAGTTGAATATGTATATTAATTTATGGGTATGTAATGTGAAGATTTCAAAAATAATCCCAAGCCAAAATATTAACATTAATTATAACTGTTGATTTTTTAAATTTTTTTTATTGATTTTTATTTCCTTTCGTTTTTTGTCATTACGTAAAGCGCTATTCAATCGTCAAGTTATTATTACATACATGTTATCAAGAAAAAAATCATATCACAATTAAACTGATCGTCAACAATCTTAGTTCTGAAACAATGAATTAGCAAAGAAAATCGCTCGTTTGTTACTTAATTACGTTCAATGGTACCCACATTGATATAAAAAAACAAATTATTTCGTCCAAAGAACTACGTACACTATGCACAGTGTTCTTACATCAGTCAACTTTTTTTTAAACACAAACGCGTGTGACTTTTTATTTCCAAACGCTTGACCACCGCGTGCAATGCAATGTTCATAATCCAACGGGAAAAAAAACAAAACACACCCTGCGCGTAGAAAGTGAAACGATAAAAAAAATTATAATCCCATCAAATCTTTCGCTATACCTGTAGATGTAACATTTGATTTGGGCATCATAGCGATAAGTATTAGGTATACTTTTCCACTCGCGGTGTCGAATTAATAATATTTTTGTTGCAATACATCCGATATTCGAATGCTTTTCGCACAGCGCACGTACGATTACGCGCACGTGCAGCGTTCACTTTCGGGCTTGTGAGGCGCTTAAGTCTGCGTTTTTGAGTATCCCGTGCTGTATTGTTGCGTTTTAATATTTACATTTGTGATAAAGCCGTGTCACGACGACATTACTGCGATCGTTATTTATCATCTCCAATCGTATTTATCGCGCGGTAGTATTAAAATGAGCGATCTCACATTGTGCTCTTACGATGGTAACCATTCAGAAGTAGGTAGACGCGCTGCAAAATCTTAATTTTTAATTAGGTTCTTTGTTTTGATTTTTTCCCACTAATGGTTTTCTTAGTGTGCATAAATTATAATTAATGTAGTGATCCGGGCATCACTGCGAATATTTCCTTGTACTTATTTTCCTTATTATTTTACCTTGAGATGGCTATTATATATTTTAATGTATTTTAGTTTATATTAATTTTGTAGTATTAAGCGTATTATTTAGCTTTTTAAATTTTATATTATTGATAAACCATAATGTCTAAATCAAATGATAATTAATAATATTTGATTCTGAAGAAAAATAGGAAAGTCACCTAATTATTTGTTTTAATTATAATTTTTATTTGTTTGAAGTATCAAATATTGTGTTTAACTTTTTTTTATAGAATAATTAGTAACTCTGAGGAAAATGAAATGTTACATCGAGACCAAATATAATTTTAACTTCTAAATATTTACAAATAATTTGTATAACAAACATCACATTTTTCATAATCATCGAAATATGTTAATTGTTAACATAAGTCCCGTCGCCCTTTTCCCAAATTAACACCAACGTGAATTTAAAAAAAAAATGATATAAAATGTCCCGTATTTCTAAAAAATAAATTGGTAGAGTTTATCTTACGCTATTGACTTATGGGGTTACCAGTACGTCCTGTATCAGTTTTAATAAATAACATTTATACTTTTAAAAGTGTCTATTTGTTTTGACTACAAACTTACTTTACCAGACGTAGGTCGGGGAAAAAGGTGACTTTGTCGTTTAATCGTTTCGAGTCAATCGTTAATCAGACCGGCTCACTATATTAGGATAATACGAGTAGATACAACCCGATATTATTAAGATTATAGGTTACGGTTATCCCCTTACCAATCCATATGTTTAATATTTGAGAATTGATTTGGATACAAAAATGAAACATAAATAATTCACAACTACACCGTCCTGTTTAGAAATTAATTTATAATTTTACATTAAAAATTATTACATACATAGTGAGCTGTAATCGATTGACAAAGTTTGTTTTGATTAAACAATAATGTTGTATGTACATCATCACAAAATGTTTTTTGTTAGTTGCATAAATCATTGAAATATCGAAAAATAATGATAGTTAAATCGATAATTTTACTAACATTTAATGTATAGTTATTGTTAATGGATAAGATATGAAGAAATAAAATAGTTTAAAACAAAAAACACTACCTACATCAGAATTTTCGAGATTTGATCCGGAAATCACATCAAAATGATTCATTTATTATCTATCATGACAATATAATTATCTTTCTCCGTTTGTAAATATCAGTGTCTATATAATATAATTTTTAACAGTAAAATCTAAAAATAACTTTATTTTACGAACCATGAACGGGTGTACGATTACATTAAATGTATTTATCTAAGGATTAAGATTACCGTATTATACCGTTATAATTTAATTTTTTCATTTATAATGTAGATATCCGGAATACTTACAATACAATATGTTGTGACAGCATATTAGTCGATTCGTTTTTGAAAAATTAGAGTTAAAAATTAACAATTAAAATAATTTATTTTCCGCATTTTGAGGAATTTTAAATTTAAATTGTATGACTTTAAAACCGTGATAATTATGCGCACTAATTGGTTATTACAATTTTCATCGAACTCGTTTGTAATTCATACAGCGTATAATACGACTTAATAAATATCGTACATTTATTAAACATTCTCTAGAAATCTGTACGAGTGGTTATTCAAATATTTCCTAATAAATCGGAAACAAAACTACTATATCTACACATAGTATTCGTATTATATTTCGCAACACTTAGACTCATAATCTTGCTATACGATATCTTTAAAAAAAAAAAAAAATAATAAGTGTATAATAATTTGTTATAAATTACGTTAAAAAAAACATAATGCTAATTTACATACCTATTAAGTAGTAATTAACACAGTGCTTCTCAACCTATAGGTTGAGACCCAAAGTTGGGCTGTGAAATTCGTTTGATGGATCGTCAAATTTTGAACATAAAAACATAATACTCGTATTTATTTAAGAATTAGTGTTTGACGCACTTCATATTTATTATAATATAATATTAAAAAATTCATGAAATAATTTATTTAAACTATTTAATATTAATTTAAACTGTTGGCTGTGTTTTGGAATACTTTATATTAGGACAAAAGTTATTTATAAGACATTAATAAATTAGCTTTTTTCCTGCATACGCTATAAAATTACATATTTGTATACATTATTGAAATACAATCATTTAGTAATTTAATTACCTGTTCATTTATATTTAAAGATTAGTTAAAATATTAGTTTTAGTCTGCAATACACAGGTATTTTTTGTTATTGATATGGTCAAAATATATTGTACGTGATTCATTGATTGGCGAATATTTCGCATTAAATCGTAGAATCAATGCAATCAGCTATGTAAATAATTATGTCTGAGATTCACGTAGCTGGAAACTATTTTAAATAATTGCCAGATCTTAATAATTGTTATAATTAAATTATAATTATTATAAATGTTAAATGATTATTAAAAGGACGCCACACCCACATGTGATGTCTCTATCTGAAATAAGTACATCAACAAATTTACGTTAAGTAGTTCAAATGTAATGATGTTAGATAATATTAAATATTAAATATAATTATTATTAAATATTAAATATAATATTAGAGTGAACTGACCTATAATCAAACTATAAGGGAATAACATTGTCTGTGTTTCTTTTGGTCGGTTATTTCCAATATTTTAATTTTTAAGCATGTTATGGGTATGTAAAATATTAAAATTAAAAAAAACCTTAAATTTATTTTACTTGATATTTTTGTCATTACTGTCCTCTGACACCTAATCAAATATTTCATTATATCACAATTTAAATGTGATAAACCTAACGAGATAATGTGTGCTTGAAAAAAATGTACAAAATAGTTTTAGGGATAAGATGTATTCCTTGTCGACCTCCAGGACACATGCTTGGATGGGTGGGCGGTCCATTGAAAATATCGCTCTCAGTTCTATATGATGAAGTTTAGCCACTGGTAGGCAACGATATTGCTGATATTTATAAACAAAATATTCTCTATACAAATTAATATTACGATGAAATCCCATTCAAGTAGTATTTCAACCCCAGGAGTAGAACTCACATACGTTTTCAATTCACTACAAGATGATGTTTTTCTTTTCTTGTAACGTTCGTTTTATTTTAATTAATTAATTTTTTCGGGTAATAGGCTGTTTATGCCGTAGTTCTACACGGTTTCCATACAGTTGATAAATTGTCTCGGTTTTCGTATGATCTAAAACTATAAATAATTTGTAAGTACTGAGAATGCTTGACGATAATAATAAGCAATAATGCGGTAAAGTACGGATGCAGATCATATTGACAAAACGTGTGTCAGGGTCGTAAGTTCTTTGTTGCGGAGAATTAGTATCCTAAGCACGGGGCGGGACTGGTTCTCAGTAATAGTATATGTTAGCGGCAATGTGTATAATTATGATATTTTATATAATGACTAAGAACAGTATGTAATACCAAATCATACTACCTAATGATCTAAATTAATACCTAACCAGGGTATCAAAACGTTATGAGTATAACGTTAAAATATTCAAAAAACGATTGAAATCGATAACAGATAACATATCGTTAAACGATAAACGATGGAAACAGATAACGGATAGCATATCGGTAAATGATAAACGATTGAAAACGGATAATAGGCAACAAAACAGAAACGAAAAACGATTACAATTAATATCGAATAACGTAACAAAAAACGATTAACGATTGAAACTTCGGATTTCATGCCCATCCCTAATTGGTACTAGTGCTCTGCACGGTCCGTTATTTTAAGGACCAGACCGGAATTCAAATTTTACCAGGTGGCCTAAGTCGGACCGGACCACACTTAAACGTTAATCAAAGACCAAAATTGGACCGAACCGACGGCTTCATATTATTTTTAAACCAGATCGGACCAGTAATTAAAAAACATTTAATTAAGTAGACCGTGGACCGGACTGTCGGTCCGATCTTAAAACATTTTGGACCGTTTATGGACCGGTTCGTAAGGTTCAGTCTGTATTAGCTCAGATCGTACCATATGATGTGTTTAGTATTACACTGGACCGGACTATCCCACTTAATAAATAAATATATACCTAAATTTGTAGGGTTTTTTCGTTTTATTTGTTTACATAACAATATCTGTATTTAGATTTTAAGTTCCATGATTAGGATCTGACTGAGACCGGACCGGACTGATTTTCGTTTTTTTTCTAAGCCTCTGCGGGTTATGTTACATTGAATTATTATAGCCCCCCCCCCCAAAAAAAAAAAAAAATTCAATCAAATGTCCGCCTATGACCGGACCAAACCGACGATTCAATAGTTTTTGTATGTTAGGACCGTACTAGACCGAACCATGCAGAGCACTAATTGGTACGTATACGCGGGTATACGGCGTATATCCATCAGCATACTTTCAATTTTCGGCGAATACCAAATATAAAATATTATTTTACGGGTATATGCTTCTAAAATAACTCGAAAACAAAAATAAATAATAATGATATAAACGTTATATATTATTTTTATTTAAATCCTGCTTTAAAGATAATTATAAGTGATTCCGTTTTACCATTCGGTTAGCTTTAATAAAGTAATTTTTCTGCGGAATCAGTTTAAGTTTATTGATTAATAAAATTAAAATACTAGTTATTCAAGTGTTCAACAATCTTGTAAACCATTTCGATGTAATTCAATATAATGTGATAAGAACAATAAATATTTATTCAATTCAAATGAAAATAATTGCTAGGACGACATTTACGAATAACGTATAACACAGTAGATAACAATATATGCAATGGATATTCAATGAATTTATATCTAATGTATGTACATGTACAATGCTCTATACTACGCGAGTACGTTGCCGTTGGAACAATCGTTATTGTAATCATTAGCGAGATTTAAAAAATAATTCGATTTGCTATTACTTAACTTAAACATTTATCCAATTCTTTCTTATTCCAATGTAATTTTTTTTTTTTTTTGATACTCAGACGGACCATGGAAATGTCAACGAATATTGATCACTGCAAAACAAACGGAAACGAAAATAATCAAGGCTGTATTATATCCCTTGGGTCTCACGTACGTATTGAATCAATTATATAAGGCATGATTTTGATTTTTTTACTAAAGAAATATTGTATTTCATAACATGCAACGTTAATTTTGGTATTTAACGATTAACCAAGACGCATAAATGACAAAAAAAAAAAAATTAGATTAGTGAAAGACGCTTAAATGTATTTACAGTAAATCAAATTCGTTAATATAATAAGACTGATTAAATACTACAAAGTACGTAATACTAATTTTGTATTTGTTTCCATATTCGTATTATTTATTAATTTCAGTGTGTAGAAATCAATAGAGTATTCATTCGAATACTAATACGATCGATACAGTATGCACGAGAGAAACAATACAAATATAGATAATTTAATACATAAAAATACATAACATCGTTGTGCATAGATACGCTTTACAAATTAGAATCGATTTATACGGCAGATAAGATATTAGAAGATTAAAATAATATTTGGTCCTAAGACGTTTAAATAAAAAATCAAAGAATTAAAAATAAAAATCAAAACAACATCAAGTAAATTAAACAGTATGCATGCATTACATGGTTAAGTGGCATATTATTTAGTGTATCGTGTTATATTATCTTGCATGGCTGCCTCTGTGCTGGGTACCGTTTAATGTTGTTTTCACACGCAAAACGATTGAAATTGTTTTCATTTATTTGTTTGTTATACGCCATAGGATGGTCCACCGAAGGCGGACAAAAAGGAGTTCGATTGCAGTCGTTGGCCTTTACAGTTGTTACTTATAAGTAATAAAAAACAATTCGTTCTAAGGTGTCTGTGCCACATTTTGTTCGTAGCTTATTTGTTGACGGCCGTTAACCATTGGTATTTAAGTGGTAATTATTGAATATGTTATCATATTTCAATAAATGTGTGTTGATTTATAACGATTTATCGATTTTAATCATTGTTCACATTACAGATAAAATAGACATGAACTGGAAAGACGGTTTAGGCCTATTGATTATTATTGCTACGATGTATTACATCACGTGGCCACTCAAATGGTTGTTTGCGATCTTACCGAAAATAACGCCGCACACACATCTGAAGTAATACTGTAGCTATAATGTATTGTAATTTGATAGATCATTTTTAATTCAACTGTGAAAAACTAAGCTATTTACTGCCAAATAAACTGGTTAAGTTAAAAAGTTGGAAAAAAAAATAAATTTTTCACTAGTTAATGACCACCTTTGAATATTTTGGCCTTTACTGGGAGGAATGGTTTATGATAATACGGAACGTCACCAGTCGAAATGGTCATAATGTGTCATTTAGTCATCGTGAAAAACTGATAACTGCGTATTTGTCTATGAATTGTCTTACAGGCTGGCATTTAGTAAATATTTATAGAGCAATTGAAATAAATTTTGATGATGTAATTGATAGATTTACAATTACCTATTAAAAAATTAATATAAATTTTGTTTTGTAACTTTGTTTTTTTAAATAGGTATATAAAAAAATGTTTGGGATGGGTGGAAGCGGTCGACCCGTTTTAATATCCCCCCCCTCCAGGTGAAGTCTCAAATACGGCACTGCGCCCTGGATGTTTATTGAAAGGGGGGGGGGTGGCCTCAATGATATAATGATAAAACTGAAAAAATATAGAAATATAATTCTAATATTCTATCCATTCTGTTGACTATTATAGGTATATAATAATTTGGTCCACGGATAATAAATTATTATTGTCAGTCATCATCGTTCGTAATCACTATTTATTTAATATTTAGATATTAAATACCATCAAATAATGATTTAAAATAAAACGACTACTAATTATTCTAACAACAAGGTATCGGCGTATTTTGTTCGGATGATTGTGATCATTTCGACGGCTACAACTTATTTGCGCACAGTTTACGAATAATAGAAACCTTTTCTCAGAGAAATTTAACCAACGTACCTCTCCAAATGTTTGGATTTAATGATGGTGGATTATTATCATATTCGTACAACGTTTCCCTTTATCCTTTACAAGGCTTAGGACATTCTGTCTAATCATATTCTGGTGTCATGGACTGATAGGCTTGAAAATGTTGTTTTGAGCTTAATTTCCTTAACCAGCCATTATTTATAATTTTTTCGATTACAAAAATGAATAATATTTAGCGTCCATTGTTAAACACGCCGCAATTGTAGACTACACTAAAGTGTATAAGAGATTTTTTATAAGGTTTATCAATTATCACCGGAAACGTTTAATAAAAACAGCATAAGAAATATAGCAATAAATATTAAAGCTTGACACACACGACTCATTTACTTGGCAAGCATAGCATCGCGATTATGACATTACTAATGGATGAAAACTGATGGAAAACCATGATTGAAAATTCATTTTATGCTTTTAGAGTATATGGACAGAGTGTATGTACAAAACTGTAACTACAAGCTGGTTTTTATTGACCATAATTTTGCGCGCAAACGATTTGTGGTAAATTTAAAAAAAATAAAACGAGCCTTCGCCCATTTGGATACACCTCGTTCGTTTTGGAACACTACATTAAATTATATTTGGACGATAAACTGTAAAGCGTTAGTCACTTTGATACAGTCAATTTAATACAAATATTATAACATTTAATATACGTATAATTACAATACTATATTATATTTCATAATTAAATTAATACTAAAACATCATTTCGCTGTGTATATAGAAAATAAATTCAAATGATAGTAGTTGTAGAATTTAACTCTCGACCTTTACAAATTATAACAGAAAAGAATGTTGAAGTTATTCCAAAAACTGTTTACCACAAAAAAATTTAAATCACTAACTGTATTGTCTCTAATCTTAGATTCATAATTTTCAGTATAAATTCGTATGAATTATTCAAAATCAAAGCAGAACACATGATATATTTTCCCAACGCAAATATTTTATTCACGAATATTTATTTTGTACTCTTGAACGTAGATGTTCGACCGTAGAATAATGTTAAATAATAAATTACAAAACACAGACCAACGTGTTAATATCTTCTGTTTTATCGTCACTACAGGACTGGCTTGCTGTGCGTGTTTTTCACGTTGTTCTTTCTATACATTTATTTTGATACGAAAAACGACCGTCTTCGGTTGCTGCCATTAGCCGGACTTATCGCGTTAATTTTCATCGGATTTCTGTTCTCCAAACACCGCGGACACGTGGACTGGACCACGGTTGCGACCGGCTTCGCTACACAAATCACCATCGGCCTGTTGACGATCCGATGGTCGGTCGGCCGGTCTATAGTTCAGGCCATGGGTCAGTTGGCCGAAAAATTTTTCTCCTTCGCTTACATCGGGGCCGAGGTGACATATGGTCACGAATTGATCGACAATTACGGTGTATTCGCGTTTAAGGTTGGTATGATGCGGTATTGTAATCGTTTTGATGCTACGTACGATTGTCTTATGAAATTCAAAATAAAAATTTATACTGAAAAAAAACAAATAAACAAGTAAAAACTTGAATAGTTCTTCATATTTATAGTGAAACTTTTTTTTAAATATTTATAGAAATGTTAATATTTTATTTTTACGTACGATTCAATTATTTCTTAAAAATCATAAAAAATATTGAATTTCGTGAACCAATCGTATTATTCACGTTTATATTTATTTTGATAAATTTAATCATTCTAAAAAAATTACGTTAAACAAGATTAATTATACGCTTAAACAACTAAAATAAACAATATTTGATTGATTTAGTTATTTTAATATTTTTAAATTTTAAGTACAGTACAACTGATTCATTTTGGTTTTCAATGATTTTCTCTATAAAACGATAAATAATGTTGAATTTTGTCTAGGTAAGTATAGTTTTTCAAGTAGGTATTTTTAGTCATTTTAGATTCTGAGCAAAGCAAAAAATTTACTTACGTTGATATTTATTTTGGTTAAATAAGTAGCTATATATTTTATTAGTTTGAACACACATAATGCAAGGCTAAACATTTAATTATGCATGATCTGAATATCAGAATATTTCGTTCCACCATATTACATTTATATAATATAGGTATTATTTACTAGCTAAATTATTTTAGTCCCACCCGGGTTAGGTTTTAATTATTATTTTAATAATTTAAATTAGAGCAATTACTAATCTTAAGCCTAAAGAATTTAGGTTGAAAAAAGTGTACAACAAAATAATAATTATAATAATATTTATTTTTATTTATGTGTACTATATTTATTTACATATACCTATATCAATCTTAATTATTAACATAATGAAGAAAATAAAATATTTTCTAGGTAACCAAAAGGTAAAAAAAATGTGTATATCCAACCCAAAACTGTTTCAGCACTTAAAAATGTGATTTTCAAAAATATATTTTTATTTTAGATCTAGAGTATTATTATCTAGATTAGTATTATATATCAAATTTTTTATAGCTCAAACGTTTTGTTATTTTTTATATGTGGTGTAAATCGTAAGTGTGAGTGAATGGTATTTTAATTTTATTGTACAGATTGCATTTATACAAATAGTTTTATTTTTAATCGAATTGTATTAAATTCGTAATTTCGCAATTTTCATTTCTAATCCCAAAAAATATAATAAACCTCATTATACTCCAACTATTGGACTCATGGTTGTGTACATATATTGTACATAAATTATTAAATATACACATAAATATATAAACTATACATCAAATGTGTAACATTTTCACTAATTACACAATTATACATATTTCATTTACCTCCATAATTTACGTACTAATTGAAATTTTGTGTCATTTAAAAAAAATATGATTTTCAATTTTATACTTGTAATTTTAATACGAGAACGAACATTTTTTTCTTGCGAAACTTTTGATTTATGACTGATACGATCAAATATTACATTAACTAAGCATAATGCCACAACCTCGACTTAGAATCGTTGCAAATTCGATGATTCATTATTGCTTTGAAATTTAAAAAAATAATTTATGCTGTTACAAAACATCCGTCCTATTTTGAGCTATACGAAATTTATTATGCAATCATTCAAACAGCTGGAAGATATGTATCAGTATTGTTGATGAGCTTAAAAGAGTATTAATATAATTAAAAAATCATAATAGTAATAATAATAGTATTTATAATAACAATAATAATAGTAGTACATGTTCAATATAACTTAAAATTATTAATACCTGCATATATTTATAATTTCCAATTATCACTTGTGTAATGCAACTATACACGCAATTATAGCTAACATACTATATATGAATAAATCAAAATTTAGTTTTGTATTTTGGTTTTTTTTTCAGGTGCTTTCAGTACTGTTTTTCATGTGTTTTTTCATAGAAATATTATTTTACTATGGAATTCTCCAGACTGTAATCATACGAATAGGATGGTGTTTGCATAAACTATTGGGAACCACGGCAATCGAATCAGTCTATACGTGCGCTAGTGTATTTTTAGGCATGGTAAGTGAATTTTGTAATACTTACATCAACACCATCTGATTTAAACTAGAAAAAAGTTAAATGAGGTATAATTTACAGCGAAAACTGGTTTTAATAAGTAAACATACAAATAAATTACATAATATTTTAAAATTAGTATGGTTTTTATATCATTATTTCAACTATAGTTTATAAAAATAATTTAAATAAATATTTAATGGTTATCGGGACACTTTTCTTGTACTATTTGATTATACAAACTTTTCAACGGCTAAGAAAGTACCAATATCATTTTATCGTTTACTCTATGAATATATAGCAAAATATTTTTAACTTTAAAGATTTATTTTACTATACCGTTGTAAAAATTTATAGATCCGACCCAATGCCAACCCGGTATTATGCCGCCTTGGGACAGATTTTGAAATGTCGTCCTTCACTAACCTATTGTACCGTTTTACCCAACATTTCTTGCTAGTGTACAGATAAATCATTTAAAATCATTTATTTTAAATTTAATAATCTAATAGTTATAAATTGTAATACAGCCATACGAGTATACTGATGTAAACCTATTTTATACAATTTATACTAGAAAATAATACGAGAATTTAAAATTCCGAGCTTTGTAATAACAATATGGTCATGCTATTAATACGCTGAACGTTCACTCACCTGATAATTCTGCGATAGGCAATATACTAATATATTACTATTATTATTTGTTATTCATATTTTTCAATGATTAAACATTTTTTCTAAAAATTATAATACATTAAAAAACTTCAAAACTTTCATTTTCGCTGTTAAGAAATTGCCCCCTTTAACCTCCCCTCCATATTAACCATCATTAGACATAACAATTTTATCTCTCTGCAGATTACTTAGTTTTACTGATTAACTATGTACAACTTATGTTAAACCGTTCAAAGTCACACTAACCTATCATAACATAAAAATTAATGTTATTGTCATAGCACATCGCGAGATCTCAACGAAAGTATAACTATTCAGGTGTAAAGAAAGTATAAAATTATTTTGAAGCACTAACAGTATAGCGGAAAATTATACTTTTCAGATCTTATATACGTGCGTTGTGTAACCATATGCACTGAGTTTTACATTCGTAGAAAAGTCATTATACAAAGTAGGTATTTTTACTTAAAAAAAAAAAAAATAAATATTTTTGTCAATCAACTACACGTGGCTGTAACTTAAATACGTAGTTTACGTAAATACTAGCTATATGATAATATTTTAATGTTACATGAAGATTGACACTTGTAAGATTATTTAGTTCTTTGATCACGTGTACATGAAGTTTCTACAATATTTACTTACCTGTTGAGTTACGATATCTTCATAAACAATTTTCATACTTTTAAATTATTATTTTTTTTTTTATACTTATTTTTTTACTTGAATTTTATTTTCATACGCTTATTTATTTAACGATTTTAAATCGAATTAATTATTAGTTTTAAAATAAGCAATAAATGCAACTATATTCGTTACTATATTTGTGCATGTCGTACTTCTTTAGAACAATTTATGTTTGGATTGGTTTATTTTTAATAAAATATCGCATGTACCAATAAATTTGGTATATTATACATACAAAAAGCGCAATAAAGTACTATTTCTAATCAAATATTAATGTCCTGTATGTGTAAGGTCATAGCAGAGTATCTGAGTGTAACTCCTCATACTCATAATATATTGTGAAACAAAATAATCTTTACGTTAAGATAGCAATGAATATTACTAAAAGATAAAAGATGACTGTATATAATAAAACGGCGAACATTAGTTCATATTAGTGTCATATTTGTATGAACCGATAACTTCCAATGTATGCTGATGAAACTCATTCATGAAAACTATATGTAACTACTTCATTAAATATATTGTTCGATGATCAACGCTTTCACGTTCATCATCGATGATTCTTTTTCCGTCTTAACGTATGTTTCATATAACATAGTTGAACCTCGTTAAAATCTATTTGTAAAATCCTTATTAGTAATAAATTATTTCTATAACCTAATTACCTTAAATATATTTATAAAATAATAATTTTAACCCATACTATACTGAATGAGATAAAAATTACAAATATTAGTTTTTAACTATCGTTGAGTTTACTTATCCTATAGGTTTGAATGATTTTTATTCGTAAGTATTATGAATTAAAATACTACAACATCTTCAGACAGTATTCAATATATTTATTCAAAAATAGTATCAATTAATATTGACTAAATTTTATTTTTGCTTAAATGTTGATAACATTATAAAATTATGCTTTTCCAACAATATTTTTTTGAATATCTATATCGTTTGATTTTCCGCGATATTTAATCACGATATCTAAAAAAAATTTAAATATTGATATATCGATATTTTTATTCCGATTTATTGATATCCCTACAGGTACCAGTTAATAGTACAAGTTTATTTAACGAATTAAACGAAATTAATACATTACTAATAAATCACAATAACCGTTCCAATTAATTAAAAGAACGAAATTAAAATCATGAACGATTAATAACAATAACTGACTTCAGTACAAACACTACAAACTACTTCATTGTGTCACTGGTCAAATTAATTATTTCTCCGAACCTAACCTAACCTGATTCCGAAATAAATAAAAACTGATGAATTGACAATATTATATTATATTTATTATAATATACAAAAATGTATTCGATTATCGATATATCGTACAATATATTTAAAATATCGATAACGAAATGTTCGTAAAAAAGTACGCAATATCGAATATTGATTTCATTGTAAAAACCTAATTAAAATACTTTGTTTTATTATTATATATATATATATGTATTTTTTTTTAGTCGGAAGCACCAATTATCATTAAACCGTATCTAATCGATCTAACAGAATCTGAAATACATGCTGTTATGATGGGAGGCTTCTCAACAGTTGCAGGTATAATTTTCGCAAGTTTAATTAAAAATGTAAGCATATAAAATAATTTCAGAAATGAAAAATTCTACGTACGCATATATTGTATTATTTAAAAATCAGTTCAATTATTTACTAAAAATATTATAAAACTTTTTTAAACGTGTAAATAAAAATGTTCTATAAATTGAACTGTAATGCTCGACAGCCGCCCAAGGGCTAAATGTTAGATAAAAAAAAAATGAATTATTATTTTTCAAATATAACAACTAAATAAGTTTTATCTCCAAAGGAACTGTGTTCGCGGCGTACACATCATTCGGCATCGATTCTGCATATTTAATCACTGCATCCGTAATGTCGGCTCCCACTGCATTAAGTTTTTCTAAGCTGATATTCCCAGAAACTCAAAAGTCATTAACCAATATAGAACAGTTATCTACTAAGAAGTAAGCATGTATCGTGTAATGTGTTTACACTTTTATGGCAAATTATTAAATTCAATAATAAGGGAGAAAATATTTTTTAATGTTTTCCTAGGGGGAGGTGACATGTGTTCTTGTCTTTATTCTTACCAATATAATGGTCGCTTGTACGTATATTATGTATTAAAAATACATTCTCAATTCGATATTGTTGTGTTATCGTAGGGTCTCCAACGAGAACAACGTTGTAGATGCAGCTTGTAAAGGAGCTCAGTTCGGTTTGCATTTAATCGGAGCCATCATTGCTAATATAATAGCATTCGTGTCGTTCGTTGCGTTCATAAACGCAATAATATGTTGGTTAGGCAGTTTGGTCGGGATCAAAAACCTTTCATTCGAAGTGAGTGATTTTATAAGAAAAAACTCCTCTATAATCAATCGCTATCGGATTCACTTAAGCTTAACGAATTTTCCTTCACAGGTTATATTGGGAAAAATTTTGATACCCGTTACTTGGATTCTGGGCGTCGATTATAGCGAATGTGAAACAGTCGGAAGATTGATCGGCTTGAAAATGACTATTAACGAATTTGTTGCATACAGACAAATGGGCAAATGGAAAAATGAAAACAAACTCAATGTGTGTATTGAAAGTTTACTTTTGATTCTAAATAGAAATAATATTTGTATGAACTCCTTCCCACTTGTTATTAAGACGATTTATCGCTTATTATACTACTGAGGTCCGTTCATTCAGATTTTGTACCAATTTGTGTATCGAAATAGGTAATATTTTAAATTTTCTTATAAGATGAAAACAAAATTATAAACATAATTAATCAAAAGAAATTAAAACAAAAACTATGATGAAGAAATGTAGCATTAAATAAAATATTGAAGAATAATCTATGCAGAAAAACTTTTCTTTTTTTTAATATTCTATTGCGCACACATCTAGATTTAAATTAATAATGAACATTATTTCAATGCAAATTGACCATTAATGCCTAGCATAGAAATCGTTGTCCGTATTTATTACGATTTGTAAAAAACACCAATTGATTATCCATTATATTTCTGAATACATTCGTTCGATCTATCCGATGTAACTTAAATAAGATTTATTTAAACAGGTTCAATGGATCTAAATGATTTTACTTACCTACTTCGTTGGCTACTTAAAGTTGATATCTCACTTTTTCATTTGTATAGATCATGAATATTATCGAAAAATGTATTGGCAACAATAATGTTCGTATTTTTAGCGCAAATCTGAAATCGTAGCAACATTCGCTTTGTGCAGTTTTGCTAATCCCGGATCAATTGGTTCCATGATTGCAACACTGACGACATTGTGTCCATCACAACGACCAGCGATAATTAGCAATGTATTAAGGGCGTTCGTCGGAGGTACAGTTACATGTTTATTGACTGCATCGATTGCCAGTAAGTACCGTTGTGTTAGTCGTGTTAATAATAAACGGATCGATTAGACAAAGACGAATTGATCATTTGTATTTTTCAGGTTTATTAATGCCTGAAGAAGGGTTATAAAACTGAAATCGATTTCAATAAATGTATCATCGTAATGTTGTATACAATTTATAATAATGTATAAATTCTTGTGTTCACTGCGCATATTGCTTACCACCCATAATCATTACTAATAAGTTACATATAGTAGGGATGGTGAACGAGTAGACTGGTCGATTGTGACATGAGTTCGAATCGGCCACGACTCCTTTTCATTTTTTTTTCATTTTTCATTCGTTCAAATAATTTTTTTTTTTTTTTTTTTTGTAAATTTTATATATTTTTTCAATCCACGAATACGAGTATAAAAATTATAATAATAATAATTAATATAGGCAATATATAGTAATGTATAACTATGAAAAACACAATTATACATTGAGATCGAATAGCTATTTACATATAGTGTACGTAATCTAATGGATATTTCGTATTAAATAACATTCTTCATCGTGTTCGTATAAATTTATAAAATATTTATTAAAATACGTATTATATAAAATTGTAAAATTCAAGTTACAATTAACTATTAATATTTTAAATAGAAGAAATAAAAGAAGTGTAACACGCATGTGTATAAAATATATTTTTGATAAGTAACAAACTTTTTCTTTTTTTGATCGATCGTGATAACTTAGAAAAATTCACAAGTCTATAAAAGTTGGCCACCCCTGGTGTATTATATATAACCTTATACCTCCATTGCAATACATTTTATTTGTATTTTTAGTTTAATATTTATACTGCTTATTATATTGTTATACAGTTATATAGTGAAAACAATTGGAAATTATTTATTTTATTTTTTTATTCAAAATTGATCATTATCAAACTTAGTATCGAACAAACTAGGATTAGTATTCATCTGTTATATTTTGACTAACGAAACTTAAAATTGTTTAAAATTGCGTTTATCTGACTATTGAAATTTTAGAACGACCATCTATTTATTTGATGATATTACACCAATAGACAGAAGAATAATAATATAAGAATAGATTCCGTCTATGTTTGACAAAGATAATTATTATTGCAATTTTTTCTATTATGTAAACAATTTGATAAATCATAATATTTGGAGAACAATATTGTAATAAATAATGGTTTTGGCACTTTTTAAATCTAAAAATATGTCATAATTATAAGCATTTAATAATTAAGTTGGAATTTTATGTAGTATAATTTTTAAACTGCTTAAAAGAAAAAAGTACGTGAACGAAGACGTAATATATGTAAGAAAATGATTACATTTTCATTATAGATGATAATTTTATCTGTGATATAATTTTTATTTTTCATATCATCTAATTTCAAATAATTGATGTGTACCTATGTATTTGTTACTAAGTATTAAGTATTTTTTTTTATTTTATTATGTATTCATGTTAAATAAAAATACATACAAATTATAACCTTAGACTATTAATTAAATATTATATTATTTTAATTTATAATATTTAATATATTTATATTTTTCTTTTTTTTTAATATTTTGCTTTTAAAATAACATTTATTTTTTATTTATCTGTATATTATATAATTGTGCTAGTTTACACTAAACCATTTTAATGAATCTGTCATTATAATTGCCTACATAAAATCCCTTAAAGAGTGATTATGTGAAGTTTTCAGTAAAATAATTAAAGATTGATATATTTTAAGTATTTTAATATTTATTACCTACAATTATATCTTATGTAGTAGAATGACCATTTGTTTGTGTTTTATTTTCATAATTTAAAATTTGAATAGCTAGCAAAAATTCAATGTTTGAATAAACAAACATTAATACAGTTTATCATTGAATCCATTATTTTCAGGATTGTTGAACATTTAAATCATTTTTTATACACTTGTATAATTATTTAATTTTTAAATTCTGTGTGAAACTATTATTACTATCGTAAACTATAGATAGATTACAACTATCTACATAATATTAAGGTTAATAATATACGGTTATATGTGGTGAATAATGCGTACAAGATGATATGTACAGTGAGGGTATCATTATATAACTAAAGTTTCTCTTCATTATTAAAACTGTTATGTTCAAATTATTTTACTGGATTTTAGATTACTAAATTTTGTACGAACATGAATCGAGATGTGGTTATTGTACGTTCATATTTTTATCTTTTTACATCTACTCTAGTTGCCTCTCATTGGATTTGGGAAAGCGGTCATTTTAGGATACGCATGTACACTGATTCGAAATCAGGGTTTAAATCAAAATAATATATATTATTTACCGTGATGGGACATTTAAACGTTATAAGCAATTGAGCGTTTAACGTTATAAATAATTTAAAAGTTATTAAATTTAAGCTAGTAAGCGTTATACAAATTTAAACGTTCATAACATTTTCCATTTACCGGTGTTGACAATTAAAACGTTACCTATGAACAATATAGTGTTTTACGTTTAGCGTTTAGCGTTATTTAAATTAGTGTACAATTTGAAACGTTTTCAAATATAGTATTTAGCGATCAGTACTATGTAAAATAACATTACATATTTTAAATATTATATATATTACCTATATTTTATCTTTGCAATTCGCATAACTCATAACTTATAAATTAATCAATCATATTTGTCGTAAAACAATAATAAAATGCACATACCACGTAAATATATATTTATTATCAACTTATAACTTATTTGTGGTGTATTACTAATGTTTAATCGGCGTTCACCAAAGTTATTTTTGATGAAACGTCCATACGGGTTCCGTGCCGACAATATCCGACGTAATTTCAGAAAGCATATTATTAATTATAATTGGTAATGCTAATTTATATTTTTTTAGTTGATAAATTTATTGTTGTTTTAAACATCATTTTATTTGTTCAAAATCTATTTTACTGATAGGTAATTATAAATATTTTTCCATGCCAATTTCTTTTATGTTTCAATCGTTGATCGTTTTCTGTTATGTTTTTCGATATTAATTTTAATCGATATGTTATCTGTTATCGATTTCAATAGTTTTTTGAATAGTTTAACGTTATACTCACAACGTTATAAAAACGTTTTGGTGCACTGCTCGAAATTGTCCAATAGGCGACCGTGAGTCTAATGAGCGGTAACTACAATATTTATTTATTAATTTGATAATTCCACGTGATTTGGTTAAAATGAGTTCATAATAATAAATATAAATGTAGTGATATACAAAAATATAAATTAAAACCACTTCTGTTTTGTTATTATGAAATTCAATTCATATCGGATGGAATTGGTGATGTTTGATAAAAACGTCCAGATTCTCTTATTACACCATTAAATATAATGAATCCTGAACTCAAGTTATATAAGTACAACCGTATGAGGTCAGAAAATCCAACTCGAGTGTCACTATGACTCGTATCGTTTAAACTGAATGTGTCTCAAGGTTTTACTTAAATAAGCTCTATGTAATTGTAAAAACAATGATTTATAAAATAAAGTTACAAAATTACACAGTTAAAATGCTCATATATTATATCATATAGTAACCATAAACTGAAAAAAAAAATTAATTCCACGATTCGACAAACACCTTATGGAGGCTATAAATATTCGATGTAAAAGGTATGTGTTAAATATTTCAATTTTTTAAATTATATTTTAAATGTTCAGTTATAAATAGTATACAGAACTTACCAAATAACTAGTTAAATATTAATTCCTATTATTCGTCCGTAAATAACAAAAATCAAGTATAACTGTTGATTTTATGTAAAACATGTAGTAGAATCGTTTTTTTATTTTTACAATATTTTATCGAATTGGTTCGTAAGTTTATTTTTTGATTAAATTTTAACTGATTTATATTACTGGGTCGATGATCACGCGATATCGTCATGCGGAAATTATTATTGGCTGTCCGTTAACTTACAGTTTTTAGGTGGTTGCAGCTGGCCAGTCTGCGCTCCACCAAATTGTGAGTTTTATATATTTATTCATAAACTATTAATTATTGTGCCAAAAAGGCCACGTATTTATATTTATTTTGGGGCCAAAAGGGCCATAATTACTTAATTATTATTTAATTGAATCGTCTATGTTGTTGTGAATTATTTATTTGTTATTACTTCCTCTGCTACACTCAAATTTTCTAATAAAGTTAAGTCTTGAGTTTCTAATTTGGTAATAACATCAACCAAAAAATAATAATTAACAAAAATGTTTATTAATTCATTTTTTAAATCATTAATTGATTCAAATTTAATTATCAAATTTGACCGTCACTCTGTAAATGTTCATTTGGAAGTTCAGAAACATATTTTATTGCTTTGCAAGTTTTAGACGATCGTACTTTCATCATTATTGGTAATTTACACGTAAATATAAAATAACGAACAACGAACACAGATTAAACCCACGATATTAACACATGGCCCGTTCGTTACTGTCAGTACTTCAAACGCAAACACATCTAAATAAATCGTAATCGAACATATATCGATAGTAGATTAGATTAAGTTTAATAATTGGTATTATTTTGTAATTTTGGAAACATGGGAAAGTCTGTATTAATAAATAATTAATCGTAAATGAACAAATTGTTGAAATATGTAGGAAAAATGGAATTATTGAGAAATATGTAAAAACATGTACTTATGGAAAAATATGTAAAAATATGTAAAATAAAATATAGTTAATTTAATTGGAAATTCCTTGAAACGAATTTATCACTTACCTAAATTAATTTATCAAGTCACAGTAAAAATATGTATTTACATATAAATCCGAGCCCTAGTTATTACCTAATTATTTTATATCTTATTATTTATTGTTGGGCCAGAAGGGCCGATTCTTATAATTATTTTTATTTTGTAATAAGCAGCAATATAGTCACCATTTTATTACATTTTTACATTATTTTTAGTTACCTTTTTTGTTTCTTCCATATTAAATACACACCAACAAAAACACACCTTACACACTATTCACCACATAGCTCAATAGTATTGCTAGGCGTTCTCGAACACTTCTGATTGAGCTATTACCTATTATTACACACCGCTAATCGGTCGTTGGAAAAGTGGGCACGCAAATAAGTAACCGGGGTGAACATAATATAATTTTATGTCGCCGACCGAAACAATGATGATGAAGTGAATATAGCGGCGAATTTTACATGCGATGAAAGGTTGCGGCTGCTGAAAGGTTGGTCCTTCTACAAAACTAAATAAAACAAAACAAATTAATATGAAAAGTTTTTTTTATCAAAAATATTGATAAAATAATTATTGTGTTCATTTTTAAAGATCATTTAGATAAGTAAAAAAATACTACACGCTATTATAAGTAACAAATTATACCCTAAGTAAATTATGATGTATTTCTGTTCAGCGAAAAATATTTATTCGCCATAATATATTTTAGATTACCTTCTTCCTCTCTTTTTTCACTTTTACCTCCTTCCTTGAACGATTTAAATTGCGTCGTCAAAAAGTTTGTCGTCATAACCATGACTAATGGGCAACGTGAAAACATTGTCGTCATAACTATAAGTTATATAAGATAAATATAAGTATATTAATCCATCAATATTGTTTTATGAGCCTGAAGATAACCATACAGTGGCGGGGAATAAAAACTGAATTAAGTTTTCCAATCATCTAAAATAAATTATATCAATATAGAACCTATAGAAACAACAATGCCTTAAAAAAAAAAACTAATTGTTTGTACGGTTTATAATATTGTGAAATTATGTCTTAACATTGTCTCAAAAACTGTTGCAACTATCATACATCGTTTTTCATCTACGCTGTATCGTACATTTACCTAGACAACTTTTCGGTTATTTTTTGTACAATGCGGTCATTTTTGTAAGCCGATGACTATTGTGCGAGATCGCCAATCAGATACAATTAGGCCGGGACTATACATGGCGGATTCCGCCGCGTATTCCGCGGCGTTTTCCGACGGACGAGCTATACTAGACGTATCCGTCGAGCGTATCCCGCCTCATGTGTCTATACAATATTTAAAAAAAAATGGTAAACCCATAATTATTGCATCAGTAATATAAACATATTTATCGCAATCGAATAGAATAAATTAATAGTAGACACTCATCGATCGATCGTTTGCACAAGTCACTTCGTAGGAGTAGGTTATCATTATGCCGAAAATAACACCAGCGTTAATAATTGCCATAAATGAAGCATTGGAAGGAGAAAGAAAGAAAACTATACACAGGAAGTTTGCGGTACATCCTTACGGGAAAAAAAGGACAGAAAAGGGTCAGTTCAATATAATATATGTGGACTAACGACTATTTCTGGAAAACATTTTTAGTCATTACAAAATGTCTGTAAAAACATTTGATGAACTTTTAAATATTGTAAAAAGTGACTTGGAAAAAGAACAAAACATCAAAGGTGATACAATACTCGCAGTGGAAGATTATCGATAACAATAAAGTTTTTAATTTCGTGTTATTATTAGCTGGTTTTATTATTAGCTGTATTATTAGCTAACCGAACCGTCTACACGTTAATTTCCGCGTTACGTTTTTATAGCTTTCGATAGCAGTACGAAACGTTTACGCTGCGCCGCTCTTATCTGGTATGTATAGTAACTTTTTAATTGGGTCCATAGAACGCTAACACGTAACTGCATAGCTAGCAATCGCCGCACACGGGCGAAAGCTCGTTAAACTTATATATAATATTTCCAAAAATGGATCCAAAGCATCTAACCTAACAATGGTAATCCAGCTCAATTAAATAAACAAAATAGACAAAAATTCCCGTCTCTCGTCATAAAAAAAAACAGACTCCTATCAAATCAAGATGACTCCAACTCTCCATCACCAAATTTCGACGACAAATTTAGATCGCCAAGAAAAACCGCTAGGGCATGCGACTTATCACCTGCAAACTCATCTTTCTTTCCCACACAAAATCGCTTCTCGCCATTAGAAATCGAGAACTCTAATCAAGTTAATCCACCCACAAATTTAACAAACAACATTGGTCCTGAAAATAACTCCCAAGGTACACTGGCTAAACCCAAAATTCCACCAATTTAACCAATATCTAACCAAAAACGTACACAATATTTCGGATTACGTAAAATTCCATGAGTCACTAGACAATATAACAATCGACGATTATTCGATCATCAACACAAAATCTGCCTTAAAATTGAACCTGTGCTCAGTCGATGACTACAGAGCCACAACAAATTATTTAGACGAATCCAAAATCGACTATCACACTTTTCAACTTCCCGAAAACAAACAGTTATCAATAATTATCAGAAACCTCCTTGTAAATATTACTCAACAGTGCATATTCAACGAGCTCATAGAACGAAAATTTGAAGTCAAATCAGTTACACGTCTTCAGAACAAATTTAAAAATCCGTTACCTATTGTAGCCGTACTATTGTCGAAACCATCCACAGGTATATACTCCTTAACTCTTATACTGTGTAGTAGTCGTTGAACCAAGAAGACCACCAAAAGACATTCCGCAATGCACAAATTGCCAACGCTTCGCACATACAAAAAAATTCTGCCATCTACCACCTAGGTGCGTAAAATGCGCAGGTAACCATCATTATAGCTTTTGTCAAAAATCTAACGATACGCCGCCCAAATGTGTTAACTGTAATAGTAACCACCCAGCAAGTTACAGATTTTGTACTTATTACAAAGATATCTCGAAAAATAAAAATAAAAAAAACTATAGTAAAAATACATCTCGATTACCGCGGAGCAATTTCCAAGCCGAACAAAGTTCCCCCGTGTACACATCAAATAAACCGCAAGATTATTAACGCGTTCGCCGATAAGCGTTCGTATGCTTCCGCAACGAAAAACAAATTAAATAACCATTCAAACAAAAACACAGATAATGATTTTATGAATTCACTCGTTAATTTACCGTTAATTAATGCATTCGTATCGCAATTACTTCAGAAAATAATTGAAAATCTGCCGACCATCATCAACAGCCTACATATAAATCCAAATGAGTCCTCGTAGTACTACTTTACTAAACTGGAACGCCAACGGTCTTAAATCTCACAGAAACGCTCTCCTAGCCTTTCTCAACCATCTGAATATTGATATCGCATGTATAACGGAAACGCACCTATCAAATACTGATAAACTTAAATTCCCTGGATATAAAATGTACCGGGCTGACCGTGTCACACAAATACGCGCTAAGGGTGGAGTAGCTATCTTGGTCCGTAATCAAATTGTCGTTCTTTCCTCTCAAATAAACAATACTCAGTCAGAATTAACGACAGTGCCTCTAACCTTAAGTCTATCTCTGCTGGTGTACCCCAAGGTTCCAAACTTGGTCCTATTTATTTAACCTTTACGTTTCCGGCATCCCTCAATCACCACGCACACAAATTGCTCTCTTCGCTGATGATACAACAATTTTCACAGAATCACGCAACATCGAAGCAATATCCACAAATCTGCAAGATCACTTAAATACCCTCTCACACTAGTGTCAAAACTGGAGGATCAAAATCAACGCCTCGAAGAGCATAGGTGTTATTTTTAGTCTACGTCGCTATACTACACCCCCACAACTAAAATTTGACAGTGAAAATATACCCTGGCAACCGACGGTTAAATACCTCGGTGTAACTCTTGACAAACGACTCACGTGGCGGCCCCACATTTCATCCAAAGTCCAGCAAGCATACCAGCACATCTCAATGCTTTATCCTATCCTGAACAAAAATTCAACTATTCAAAAAAAATGCTCTCTCCTAATTTTTAAGCAAATTATACGCCCAATTTTTACCTACGCTTGCCCGGTATGGGGTAATTGTGCATCCTCGCTCATCAAAAAAATGCAAATTGTTCAAAACAAAGTCCGAAAATGAATTCGCATAACATTTCAAAAACTATTCAACAAGTAACAACGTAACCTCTATTAAGATATTGATATTATCAAAATAATTTACTCAATATTTAACCAAACGTAGAAAATTATTATTCATAAATATTATTTTTAAAATCATCATCCGAAAACCAAGTCAGCACAGATGGACACAAAAATTAATATTTACAATATATATATACGATTAACAACAAAAGCTATTTTCAGTTGATCAGATGACATCAAAAGTCGGTATAAAAAAGGGTGAACAAACTTCCGTGTGTTGTTGGTTTACACACCGTTGATGACATAAGTAGCATGTATTAGGTATATGCCATTAATTATGTTATGTTCTGACGTAATAAAGACAAACTAATACTAAACAAATTCGTGTTCGATCTTTCGATGTACCTATGTTTTATCTTATCTATTAATTAATATACGGTTTTTATTGTAGTCTAAAAACTTACGTGACTAATCCCGATATCAATACCTTTTGAAAATATACTAATTGTAAAGACGATTTACCAGAAATGTGTTTATTTATTGAACATATTTTATATTGCCCATTGAAAGGACGATTATTTATAAATAACAATAGATAACAGATATTTAATAGTGTCTCGAGTGATATTGTTCGTGTATATATCTAGGTATACCTACTGTCGTGCACCCAAAGGGGATTACGACGAGTAGTGATGGAGAAGAAAGAAAAAAACACTTTGAAGAATATATTAACAAGTTTAAATGACTTGGTATATTAATTTAGACAAACACTCAGTAATTATGTATATAGATATTAAGTTAAACCGTACAGGAGTCAAGTCGGTCACGACTTATATTAACAGTAACACAGTCAGTGCCTTTTTTAACTCTGTATTAAGATTGACTCTCAGTGGCTAGTGAGCAGGTGCATTATATAGAAGCCCACCTGTGTCACGTATCCTGATACGGAAGTGGCGTGATGATTAAAAGTGCCATTGATTGTTCCATTTAGTATACCGTGATGCGCACGTTTTATGGCGTGATGTGGTGCTATGACGTCAATAAGGCCTGCTCATTACACTACCTATACCTAATATATATACTATATTTTATAAACTCTAATCAAATAAAGCATTAAAGCATATAGGTACTAAAATGTAACGTATAATAAGCAGGTACCGTGATTTTAGATTATCCATCAATTAATAATTTGAATGAAATAAAATATTTAGTTTTTCATTTGGTTTTTATGAACAAAACATCGGTTTCAGTTGAAATTACAGTATATTCTATATATATATATAGTAGGCTTAGAAATAGAGAAAAATCATCGAAAACTTAATTACTCTGCCCAGTGTTCCCTATCATTATGTTGTTTCTACTTAATGTACATTAGGGTGTTCCTTAAATTTTTTTTTTGCATTTTTGTTGGTCTCACCCACTTAATTTATGTATATGCCTACAAAAATGAATTACAAAAAGTTTTAAGTCAATCTATTAAGGTTAACCCGTGCCGACTTGAATTTGAAATCTGAGTATATTAATTCATTAATAATTTAATGATATATTTTACATTTTCACATATAACTCATTTAAAATCAGGAAAATTAAAATTTGTTACATAATATATTTTAAATATAATAAAATTGTCTATAAATTATATTCTTACATACTTCTTCTTATTTATTATAATTTACAAGATATATTGAATTTTGTGTATGAAAGTACTATTTTCTCAAAATTATATTATGAATTTTTATTAATTAAAATTGTTTTTTCAATGTTTCCTTTTTACAATCAGGATATAGTCTTCTGTGTTCTTGTATACATTGTAATAGCAACTCAGACTTCTTATCGTCTTTGGTTTAAGATCCGTGAAAATCTTCCATAAGTTTAACTGCTCCTTCCGCTGTGTCATTTACTACATTTAGCGAGCATGCAATTTCTTTCCCGTAAATATCACGAATAGCGTTTTTTTCAGAGGATGATAAAGAGTATTAATTCGGAAAATATATATTTTTAAACAGTAAATAGCTCTACTCATCCAGCGAGCTTGATGCATTGCTCCAGGTGGACGTATTTTAAATTTGTTGTCCAAATTACTATTCAAAAATGTTATAGATAGCTCAAGTAATTCTTTATAGTCATTTCTGTAACATTGTTTTTGCAACATAGCTCGACAAAAGTGGAGAATATCATTTCGTACATCTTCTAAAGCAGTGCAACACTCAAGGTCGTCTATACCAGAAGTTATATTTCTAATATCAATTTTATTCCAATTGTTTCGAAACTTTTTGAATAGTGGGATATCAGGACTTGTCGTTGTATAAGGAAGTACAGTTTCAAAAACGCCACGTAAAATTATTTTGTATATGTGGTGGCGACATGGTAGGTAAAGTAAGTCTTTTCCCAATTTTTGCTCCAATAAAACGCATGCACCATTTAAACGCCCTGTATTTTAAGCGGTGGTATCACAGTATAGAGCTTGAACAACATCTGTTACGCCCCAATTTTCTAATGCATAATATATAGCATTAGCTTGTTCTTTTCCCGTTGATTTTTCTAACTGGGATACCAATAAGCAAATCTTGATTCTTACTGATTAAAACAATCGATAGTCTATCAATACCTGAGTCTCTAACATTTAACGTTGGTAGTATTTTTCCATCCCAGTGTACAGTTATATA